TTAATAAGTTAAAATTTTCATAAAATCGAGTTTACGGGATAAAGATAATTCAGGTTGTGAATTTACAAATTTGTAAATAAAAAGACGTCTTATTTAATTATGTTGTTCATAAAAATATCATATTTCAATCAATCTTTTCGAATACTTTTAAATAGATGTTAATAGTCAAATATGTACTAAATTTGTTATCCCAATTTCTATTAGTCGCTGTTTCTTCATTGATGAAGTACCATTCAATTCAATAAATAAATAATTCTTGAAATCTGGCAACGCTGTTCATATTTTTTTAATTTTAATTTTCGTCACTAGTGCTGTGGTCGCAAAATTGGTACAACAGGATGTCGATAACGGCGATAACAGTTAATTAAAATTTAAATTTATTTCGTGCATTCGAACTTTGTACATTAAAAACAAAAATAAACACAATGGGAATTATTTTGAAAAAAAAGAAGGAACATTATTTCATTACGTACAATTCAATTCAATTGTGTACATACTCTCTTGTCACTGAAAATTTTATATAATTTGATTCTGGTAAACATTCTTATTTATTTCAAAAAATAACGTTGCACAATTGTACATAAAATTTCTCGTATAAATTAAATTACATTGAATTACAAGATTTACTTAACTTATCGTTTTGTTTATGTAGATTCACACAAGTTCACGAGATAACTAACGAAACGGTGGAGAGGCAAACAAAGGTTACTTACTGACATGATGTGCTACACAGCAGTCTGTTTCGGCCAATAGGTGTCCTTATATTTAAGATATTGAATCTATTCGAATCAACCAATTGCACTCGCATTCCTGTCACTCGTTTTCTTTGCAGCTACGTAGCATACTTAGCAAACATAACTATATATTTCGTTTATTGTACAGCGCCGTTCACCAGTGCTGTCACGTATCATGATTCCTTGCAATTTATTACAAATAACTAATTAAACACGTAATACATTTTTAATAATTTTAATTTTACTTTAATCGCCATGGATTATAAAGAAGAACAGCACAATGAGATTGAGGCTTTGGAGTCGATTTATTGTGGAGAGTTAGAAAGTACGTATGCGTTGTCCAATAACCTATAAGTTAATATTTATAGTGTTATAGTGTTATTTTATACACGATAACATATAATCGTAAACGTTGTTTACATGTCTTATAATCGTGTCTCATAGTTAATTTAGTGAAACAATAAATTTATGTCAAATAACTGCAATTTTAATATGAGTTTTGAGATTATTTTTAAATAGAACATTTTTTTTCAGTTTTAGCTACAGAACCATTTTATACATTTTCCATACCAATTAAAACTGAAGAATATGAACCAGGTACGGGAAATGGTCTTAGTTGTCGGTTGGAGTTTACATATACTGAAAAATATCCAGATGAATCACTTCTTATATCGATAGAGGAACATGAAAACTTTGAAGAAGGAAGTGCTGAAAAATTGAAGGAACATTTAATAGAACAAATGAACGAAAATTTTGGAATGGTTATGGTATTTACTTTAGTCAGTGCTGCTCAGGAATGGTTGAATGTACAGTGGGATAAAATTAAATTAAAAAGAGAAGAGAGTGCAGCACAGAAACTCAGAGAAGAAGAAGAAGCAGAAAGGGTAAACATACACATACATACATACATACATACATACATACATATATATATATATATGTATATGTATGTAACAAAAATATTAAAGCAAGAATGATCTTATTGGAGTTATTACATAAAAAGTTTTTGTATTTTCTTAGAAAAAGTTCGAGGGAACACGAGTTACGGTTGAAACATTTTTAAGTTGGAAGGAAGAGTTTGATGAAAGAATGGGATTCACAAAAAGAAAAGAGATGGCTGATAGAGAAGGAAAAAAGTTAACTGGTAGAGAATTATTTATGACTGATAAAACATTGGATCAATCTGACTTGAAGTTCTTAGATGATGGTATTGTTTTAAAATATTTAATTTATTTAATTTAAGCCGCGGTATAAAATTTGGAGGAAGTGTAATGTTGATTTTTTTAAATTCTTAGATTCTGTAAAAGTAGATGAGAGTCTGTTCCAAAATCTTGATGATTTGGAATTGGAAGATGATGATGATGATGATGATCCTGATTATGAACCAAATGTTTCTGATGATAGTGCCTAAATAAATATGCTATGATTCTACACTATTATTTATAAGATGATCCCACGACTCCTACTTATTGAATGTTTAAATACAGTTCACTTTAAGTACTAGAGTTCAGAGGATAAACTGAAGTGTTCAAAACAAATGTACCAGTATAAGATGAATTTGTTAAAATTCATTGGTGCGATTTGCCCCTTGTATAATGGTTAGAATATATTAATATCTCTTACACAGATAAATTTTATATATAGATGTGTGAAAAGCAATGGATATACGTATTTAATAAGAAAAATAATTTTTATAATTGTGTACATTATTGAATCTTTTTCATATAAAGTTTTGTTTAATAAACCGAAAATAATCATTTTTCTTACACTTTATCTCCGAAAATATTTTTGATTGAAAAATCAAAGCAGAAATAAATACACATTAACTAACGATCATAATTTAACATTTATTCATAGCCTTAGTGTATAATGTACACATTCAGTAACAAATTTTAATGAGCACATAGTTGTACTTGGCTAACTTAAATTCAATTTTCTCTCGTTCCAGTTGTATGCACACATAGTATAATCCAGTTTTGTTACATTTGTGATGTGGCAGTAATAATCAAATCGATGTTGTTCATCAAAGTTTCTATTTCACATAACACATAGGAACCTTCTGACAGAATTTTTAGATTCATATATTTACTTAACTTAAAAGTGACAATCACGATGCAGTACAAAAAATACAGTTTTTACAATGTTGCTTTCCTGTCTCTTTCTTTTAATCATAGTGCTAGTTAATGTAATATAAAACTGAAGAAATGATGCGACAACTTATGCGGCCTTATATAGTGTACCTAGCGGGACAAAAGATATCTTCGTGTTAAGAAATTTTTACATTTTTAATGATTATAACTATCGTTTTTTAAAAATATAATAATATATCATACTAAATTCCACACAATTGCTTAAGTTTTTGAAGAAAGAGTTGTTAATATATTAATAGAAAATTTAACATAAATGACAATGTGTCATTGATATATGCGGGACACAATTTTTGCAAGCAATAACTATTCACTAATTTCTTCTTTAAATGTTCAATACAATGTATCACAATATAATAATACTTTTTGATTTACATCGTTTGATTTAAATACAAGTAAAAATAAAAAGATTACAGATAAATAAAATAAATAGAGACACGGATCTGAAATTAGTGAACAGCCTACATGTACATATAGTCATAAAATATAATTATAATCGTTTTAAATTAACATTTAAACACCCGGTCACGCATTAATGCGTGCTTTTGCCTGCAAAGTCCAACCAGATGCTTAAATATTAATAATAAATAAGTACGAAGCATCAATATGTAAAGAAGCTCGATTAAAAAATTGAATTTCCTGATTGATGATTTAGAATAAGAGGATTATGGTAGTACTCATCTTTCAAGTCATTCTGTTTGAAATTTGACTTCAATTAATTTAAAACGAGTGTACGTCAGAGCAGTCGTCTTGTCTTTCGACTCGCCAACACGTCATAATCTGTTGGGAGAAGAATACTATTAGTAACGATATATAATAATATAATTCATTAATGTTGTAACGCTTAACTAAGTGACGATCTGTATCTGTTCTCAGCTACATCGACGTCAAATCGAACTGAAACGCAAATACAATCCTTTTCTAATAACTACACTAATAAACCGTTCAACTCAACACCTAGTTTTCGTCACTTGGCTAAACTCATCGTAACGATTTTAATTTCTAAAAGTAAACAATTAAATTCGTAGCAGCAAACATCCTTACGCGTATATGTTCGCTCGATAACCGGCATTTTGACTAACTAGCGGTTAATTATATGTTATGACACATACAAACATATTTTATGCATGTACACGTTTCGTGAGATTTTCCGAAATTTCAAGTGTATTGTACAGGATGCGAAATTCGACAAAATACACCGTTACAAAAATTCAGAGAATGGGATATTAACATCTATATATAGCGATCTTAATACGCCCCCACGAAAAATAGACACTCTTCAATACGTAGAGAAAAATAGGTCACATTATTTGACTCGTATAGAGTTTTATACAGCAATTGTCCGGAAAAGTATATAAACACCGAAAATGTTTCAGGAGCAAACAACACGTAATCTGCATCTTTTTCTTCAAAATATGAAATATAATCTAGTGATATCCCATTATCGTTATCGCTCGTAAAATACTTTTTATATATAACATACTGACATTCAGAAAGCAAATTCGAAACTAGTTCCCCGACTGTGTCGGCATGTGCGATCGATAGCTTGAAATTTTATATTTTCTTTTTACCCGTAAAATATTATTCGCTTAGACGCGAATATATACTTGAGCAAACGTAAGATAAATTGGTTCGTCTATTGATCTAAAAATGGATACTAATTGCAAGTGTGCTGTATTTATATAGCACAAATGTTGACAGTTGTTTCTCATACAATTTCACTGCGATTCCTTTCCTTCTCTCCGTTTACGGAAAACTTTAGTTTCTTTACAATTTTAGTATTAATAATAATAGTATATAGATATATATATATATATATAAAATATGGCAAACTAAAAATGCGACAGCGCTAAAGCGTGCACCATGTACACCACTTATCTTTGGATCATATGTTTGTTGAATTTGAACGGGATTTCATTCGGAGAAGTATGTTGGCTCTTTAGGATGAGAGGAGAAGTTTTGGATAATTGAAGATAATAATTGGACATCGTTTGTAAAGGAAAAATCAGGTGACCTTAAACATAAAGTACAATGTATTTAAGATTCGTTTCTAACTTGTCGAAAATAATATTATATATATAAAACGATATCTCTGAAAAAATAAAAATCCTCGAAACACTGAAAATAAATGGAAAAATGGAATTTCTACGAAAATTTAGATATAGAGA